CTTGCTCCCCATCAATCCTCCTCCTCGGCGGGCTACTCCCTACCCCACCTCCTGCCCTCCCCGCTCTCGGCTCCCTCCTCCTCCCCCTCCTCCGCCTCCCCCCCGCGCGCCGCCGCCGGCACCCCACAAAAATTGGGGCTGGGAGTACCGGGGGGAGGGGGAAAGGAACGTCGGGGGTCGTGTCTCTGCCTCTCTTTCTATCTCTCTTAGAGACCTCAAAATCCTGACAAGTGAAACTTAAAGGTGTTTACCTTGTCATCAGCATGTAAGCTAATTATCTCGGGCAAGATGTAGGCTTCTATTGTCTTGTTGCTTTAGCGCTTACGCCCCGCCTCTGGTGGCTGCCTAAAACCTGGCGCCGGGCTAAAACAAACGCGAGGCAGCCCCCGAGCCTCCACTCAAGCCAATTAAGGCGGACTCGGTCCACTCCGTTACGTGTACATCCAACAAGATCGGCGTTAAGGTAACACCAGAATATTTGGCAAAGGGAGAGAAAAAAAAGCAACGAGGCTTCGCCTTCCCCCTCTCCCTTTTTTTTCCTCCTCTTCCTTCCTCCTCCAGCCGCCGCCGAATCATGTCGATGAGTCCAAAGCACACGACTCCGTTCTCAGTGTCTGACATCTTGAGTCCCCTGGAGGAAAGCTACAAGAAAGTGGGCATGGAGGGCGGCGGTCTCGGGGCTCCGCTGGCGCCGTACAGGCAGAGCCAGGCGGCGCCGCCGGCCGCGGCCATGCAGCAGCACGCCATGGGGCACCACGGCGCCGTCACCGCCGCCTACCACATGACGGCGGCGGGGGTGCCCCAGCTCTCGCACTCCGCCGTGGGGGGCTACTGCAACGGCAACCTGGGCAACATGAGCGAGCTGCCGCCCTACCAGGACACCATGCGGAACAGCGCCTCGGGCCCCGGATGGTACGGCGCCAACCCGGACCCGCGTTTCCCCGCCAGTAAGTGAGGCCGCTCTCCGGCGGGCCCCCAGCCCGTCTGCGCCGGCGGGGCCGCGGGCCGAGCCTCTCCACGCGCTTCCCTCGACGCCCTGGCGCTGCAGTGACGGAGCCCAGGCTGGCGGCTGAGCGTCGGTCGGAGAGGGGCTGGACCTCCGTCCAAACGCTCGGGACTCACGGTCCATCTGAAAGGAATGAGCATGAAAGACGGAGGTAGACGTAATGTGCGGGGTGCTGAGAGTATTCGTCGCAGAACTCTTCCCTGGGGAGGCCACTTACGAAGGGAACCCGGAGGTCGGGGCAGGATTGCAGTGAGCTGGTCAGAAAAGGCCAAAGTTAACACGAATGGCAATTAGTTATCTTAAAACAATAAGATGTCATTCCTTCTGGTGGGGAGAGGGGAGGAATAAGAGTCAGAACCCCTTCCTCACTGCTGGGAGGGACCCGGGAAACCTTCGTGAATCCAAGCCTGAGTAGGACTTTGGTGGGAGGGGTGAGCAATGATTGCCTGCAAAGTTCCACTAAAGTAAGTCGTGTCTTTTCTGTTAGAGTTCGAAATGGTCGGCCTCTAATTATGCTGACTGAAAGACAGCCAGTGTCCTCAAGCAGCTTAGCGTCTGTGGAGGCTCTAATGGCAGATGGCAGATATTCCCAAGATGACTGTGAGAGCCACCTAGCCCGGCCTTCAGGGAGGTCTTCCTGGAGGAGGCAATAAAGCGCATCGATTTATTGAGGGCGGAGCAAGTCTTGAGGTTGGGAACTTAGGCGTCGTCCACTTTCCAGCAGGTCTTGCAAGGCTGTACAAGCCATGCCAACCTGAGTGATGGGAACAGGTTTCGTTTGACCCATGTATATCAAGATACATTCAATAGACAGGACAGGTGGATAAACTGGACCAACAAGAGGACCAGTTCAAAGACTGAAATTGAAGTTCTTTATTATCAGTGAAACGGGGAAATTCTGAGATCCTGAACTTTGTTGTTGGCAGAGTAGATGAAGAGGGTGGGGACATTTGTTAAAGGTATTGAAGGCACAGGATTGACAGAACCTGTTTGCTGAGGGACAAGGGCTGTTCTCTGGCACCCATAAGTCAAGGCCAGCCTGAACGGGGAACAATAAATGATATCCATTGCCTGCAGAGGCTTTCTACTTCTGCCTTTTATTATTCCTTCTGAAGGCCCCTTCCGCTCCCTGTGCGCCACACATGCTATCTGGCATGCAGACCTGCTTCCCCTTTCATCCCAAGAGAAAGGAATTGAGGCACTTCCTCCTAAGACATGAACTGGGGTGACCTTGGAGGGGATCTTTGAGAAACCTACTCAGATGATGAGGTGTGGTGCCTGGTTCATTTCCTCAGTAATAAACGGCTGCGCATCATGCCATGCTCTGTGCTCTGCTCCCAAGAGCCCTTCATGAAGAACGTGTGACTAAACTGACATTGCATTAGCTCATGTCAGAGTTAGTGTCCAGGCCCACATAGGATAAAAATCTTATCAACATATCCTCTGAAAAACCCTTGAGTCACCTATAAAATATCCATGGTTTTGTGTGTGTAACGTGGTATGCAAGATGTACATGTTCAAGCCCATTAGTAGGCCACTGGAGATCCCCTTGCAGAGGGGTCTCGGGGAGGAGATGAGCCAGTCAGGGTGCGATGTAACAACGATGAGAAATACAACTTTCCTCTAGTTCTAAAATGTTTCCTCCCGGCTCCCACTACCATGACTCAAATTCGACCTTGCAAGTCTGGCTAGACCAGAGGATGTACACTGGTACAGATAGGAACTGAAAATCCAGGGAATCCAGGGCGGATGAGCCCTACAGGACCAGTGGTGTGAGTGGCGAAACAGGGAGGGTAGAGGGAGAGTGGGTAGGAAAGAGGGAACCGATTACAAGGAACTATGTGACCTCCTCCCTGGAGGACAGACAACCTAAAAGTGGATGAAGGGAGACGTCGGACAGGGCAAGATATGACAAAATACCAATTTATAAACTATCAAGGGCTCATGAGGGAGTGGGGAGCGGGGGGGAGGGGGAAAATGAGGACCTAATGTCAGGGGTTTAAGTGGAGAGAAAATGTTTTGAGAATGATGTACAAATGCACTTTACACAATTGATGTGTGTATGAAAAAAGAATTAAAAAAAATAAAAAGAAAATAAAAAAAGATGTACATGTTCCCCCACAGTGGGACAAACCAAGAAGGGAACATAACAGATCAGCAGCGGGAACAAAGCCAAGCCACAAAGCCCCCCAAATAGACTTCAGACTAGGAGGGGCAGTTCCTGAAACCCCCCAGGACCAGTGAGGAGATAATCATAAAGGTCAGCGGACAGACCTGGAATTATGTATGCTTTTTCTTTTTCTTTTTGCTTTCTTCTTTCTCATACTTATCAATTCCCCATTTCCCTCGTATTTCCCCTGCCATGCCCCTTGGTAATTATTAATCAAGTTAGTGTTGTTATAGACTTGCCTTTCCTGGATTTCATATACAGAAAACCATACAAAAGCAGGAAGCAAAAAACAAAAACAAGCAAAGCATAGAAAAGCCTCAATTGAAAGAAAGCAGAAGATATTAAAAACAAACAATTTTAAAGTGGGTCAAAAGGGAGATCAGATGAGATAGGGTATTACATTTTAACCTAATTACGCCTGCCGTAATCGACTTTACAATGCCCTCTGAGAGCAAGTTTAGTCACTATGGTCAGAGGGCACTCACTGGAGGCTTTATCCATGTGGGGACCCTGTGAGTGGATTTTGGATTTCCACTGTCATCCAGAGCCTTCTGCACACCAGGTGTTCACAATTTAAACTCTGAATCCATTTCCTCCTTTGTATTTTATTATATACAATCGTTGATCACACAGGCTGGTGTGCTTCTTCCATGTGGACTTAGTTGCCGCCTCACTTAGATGGCATCTTGTTTGAAGATAAGTTAAATGCTAAGAGACCCCAAATGCTATTCTTTCTGACAGCAGCGCCCCATTTCGTTGCTTCACCACACTTTGCTAGAGCACCCGTATCTCCCGTGATCTCTTCATGAGGGCTAGTAGGGCCATCTTATAAGAACTAATTGTTCTTAGATTAGGGCTAGAATTAAGTTTGAGCCCCAAATCCATTCATACATCTATGGTCAATATATAGCTCTGGCTCACTTTAGAGACATTACCTTTTTTTTAAATCATTTTATTGGGGGCTCCTACAACTCAACACAATCCATATATACATTCATTGTGTCAAGCACATTCGTGCATTTGTTGCCATCATCATTCTCAAAACATTTGATTTCTACTTGAGTCCTTGGTATCAGCTCCTCATTTTTCTCTCTGTCCCCGCACCTCCCTTTGAGACATTACCATTTTATGATAGGGAATATTATAAATCATCCCCCTGAGACATAAAGTAATTCTACCAATAGTGCCATTAATTTAGCCAATGGTATCAAATTTTAAAAGAAAAGGAAAGAAAATTTAAAAAAAAAAGAAAAGGAAATTATACACGTATAGGCTGGCTCCAGACCAAAATGCATGAATTGTTGACTTGTATAGAGAAACACTTAAGTGACAACACTATTACATGAACAGTGGGTGGGGGGTGATAGGATAAAACTTTCAGTAACATATTCACAAAAGGAGAACCTGGTCTACCAGAAGAGCAAGAGGAGCTTTACAATAGTAAGTAGATGGTCATCCCAGGCCACCATGCACTGGGCACCCTCAAGCAAGCGGTCTATATATAGTCCCTTTCTTTTCACCTGGAATTTTATTCTAGAATACTTCGATTTACTGCAGCAGTTCCCAACCTTCCTCATGCGCAACCCTTTCATACAGTTCCTCATGATGTGGTGCCCCCCGCAACCGTAAAATTATTTTTGTTGCGACTTCATCATTGTCATTTTGCTACTGTTCTGAATCGGGTGACCCCTGTGAAAGGGCCACTTGACCCCCAAACGGGTGGCAACCCATTGATTTACTGATGTGTTCCACCATTGGTATTTGGCTTGTTTCCAGCATGAGGCACTGAAAACTTTTATTAAAAAGTACATGCAAGGGAGCTTCAACAAGTGCATGGGGAATTGTCATGATCTTTGAATTCCATTTTCCCGGGAACAATTCGAAGCACCCTTGTGTTACATGCATTTCTGCTAGTGCTACTAGGAGCGGAATGGCTGTGCTATAAAGTGTTTTCAACCTGGCTAGATAATGGCACGGTAGTTGTACTCATTGTTATTCCCACCAGCAGTGTAAGAGTCTCCAGGTTGCCAATCTTTTTAGCTGCCTGGTGAGTGTACGGTTTATCTTTGAGTGTGATTTTACTTTGTATTCTCTTTACTATAAATATTGGAGTCCCTGGGGGGCACAATTAATTAAGTACACAATTGCTAACCAACACATTGGAGGTACGGACCCACCCAAGGTACCTTGGAAGAAGCATGTGGCCATCTGCTTCTGACAGGTCACGACCTAGTAACCATGCTCCGTCACAGGGAGCTGACGTGAGTGAGTCATCCTTAACCCAACTGCACGTGGTTTGGTTTGTGGCTTTTACATTGAACGACAGTGAGCACCTTTTTTATGCTGACGGTCCATTTCAGATCTCATTCCTATTTTTCTACTGTTAGGCCTTTTTCTTACTGGCTTGAGATGTTTTGTTGTGTCTAGATTTGAGTCTAGGTAACATATTGGAAGGATCTTTCCCCAATCTGTGGCTTGTTTGTTCCCTGTTTAATAGCATCTTTGATGAATTTCTTAATTTTAATGTGATCAACTGTATAAATCTTTTCCTTTATGTGTAGTACATTTGGGGATTCATTTTATTAAAATCATCTGTACACCAGGGTCACAAAGATCCTCTTAAATGATAGCTCTTCTCAAAAGCTTTGTTTTGGCCTTGCTCACTCAGACTAATAGCAACCTGGGTGGTAGCAGCCTTGATTCATATTCTGCTCTAGTTAGAGATTCCATTATCCCAGCATCATTTGAAAGGATTGTCATTTCCCCATTGCTGCAGAGC